TCCTGCTGATGCACAATGCCCTATGGTCCACTTCAGTGGAAGTCCAAATTTACCTATGCTGCTGTTCTATGTCACTAGGTAATTTTTTAAGTAGACATAAAGTAAAGGGGAAAATGAGGGTATTATGAAGGGAAAGCTCTTTGTTACAATAGCCAGCAAAGGGTTTACCCTGTTAATTAAAAAAGGGCGGGGGGTGAGCTACCTGTTTTCTCAGTCAAGACAGTGAAGCTGCACAGCTATGTATGCTCTGAGAAGGAAGCAACAGTATCAGCATGCGAGATAAATGTAAAAGGTGCTTCAGTGTCACAGATTGTCATGGCTTTCTGTTTCTGCTGGGTATGTTGCTCTGGCAGTCTGGAGCTTGTCTCTCATACCAATTTTGTATCGGGAAGATGGGGAATACTATGCTAAGCTGAATGTGTATAACTTGTGAGTTAGGATAGCTTGTACTGAAGAGCTTGATTTTCCTTTTTCTTTGACAATGGCACAGTATATGCATAGTACTGTATTGCTTCATCTTATGTGCTTGCAAAGCAGTGCATCTGTTCTTTTCAGAATATGCATGTTTATCATGCTATCAGCCATTTAGAATATTTCAGATTCATTTTACCAGGAACCTAATCCACTTACTGAGCTTTAATTATTTTTTAGAATAATTAAAAGCTTTATTTGAATGAAGAAGATTCAGTGTCTGTTACTTGAAAATAACTGTTTGGCTGTGTTTCTGCTCACTCTCATGATTTCCTTTCTCAGCATTAGCTGCCAGGTTATGTTCAGGTCTAAGAGTAATTGCTGTTAATTAAAGTGTTTCATGACACTTTTAGGGTAGAGTGACTGGAATGATCTTTCATTTCCTGTGGGGATAGAATTTTGAAGAAACAGTCCAGCAGTGGATATGTATTCTTAAAAATCACTCTATATAATCTTTTTGTAAATAGTGATGGTAAATGGAGTAATCAGTAACACTACCATATGATCTTGCTGGCTGGTTTTAGGGGTCATTTTCAAAAACATAGCAAGCAGATTTATTTGGGAGTTTAGCTACAACTTTGTCACTTGCATCTTCATTTTAGTTGCGAAGAATGTGGCTCGCTGCATTCTCTTCACTAAGTCTGAGTGGCCAAGAAAGAGAAAACACTATGTACTGGCTGTTAACAGAAGCTGGAGAGACTGTTAAGTTATTTGGGGGAGTTCAGCCTTGCAGTTTGTTGTTGGGGGGGTGTGTGTCTAACATTAGATTTTTGCATCATATTGAAATGCAGACTGAATATTTGGCAGTTTGTCATTGTGGTTTCCTTTTAAGAAGCATACGTTTAATTTTCAGTCACTGAAGTAATTTCCCCGTTTGGAGGTGATGTCTCTGGTCTCTGTCCGCATTGTAACTCTGTCCAGACATCAATTCTAGCCTGATCTCGAGTTTGACAGTCATATCTATGGTGATGCTGTACCTGACCTGTTAACTGATTTTAATAGTAGGGGCTTGCTTATAAAGGATAGTAGGCTGTGGTCTGTAATACCTGTTTTTAATAAGAAAGTATTCATCCAGCGGAAAGTCTGTATTATGGAATAGATAATAGAATTTTTGAAGTTGGGTACTTCCAACTTTGCAAAGTTCAGTAGTTGGTGAAGCAAGCTACCCCATGGAAAAACAAACAAAAGTGTGGAAGGGAAGTAAAAGGGAGAATTGATGAACTTATTGCAACTTTTAATAGGACTCGGTCATTAAATTGAATTGCGCCAACTCTGAAATCATATTTAGTCTGAGCTGCTAGCTTCAGACATTCTTCAGCGGTATCTTATAAGGTGAATGTTGCCCTTGTTTTAAAGTGTGGAATAATTTGCACGTGTCACTTCTGAGTTGCTTTTTGAGGCTGTTTGTTAAGTGAAGCTAGCCTAATAGGTGCAACTCGTGTATGGCTTTCCAAAGTAATTCTTGCAATAACAGATACCTTGCAAGATATGCCAGCAGTTTCTGAACTTCGAGCTGGACCTCAGGATGCTGGTAAATGTTTTATCAAAGAGCATACAGAGCTGCTCTTGTGCTGCTGTTGTGATCAGAGGCTCTCCAGTCAGTCTTCGACGTCTTTAGGGTTCCTTAGCTATGCAGCATGTTTCTGTTTCCCCAGCCTGAGTCATGGGTTGGGTTAAACCTATCAAACATTGCAGTACTTGCATATTATTTTAAGTTTGAGGTACGTGTGGAGACGCAATTTTTAATCAAGGGAGGAGGGAGGGAATGTGTATGTGTAAGTGAGAGTTGTTTTGAAGCCTAAATGACTGGGAGAGGGAGCTACTGAAGTTTAAACACTTCTGAATTACTATTTTGCATGTAGAATCTGGAAGAAGATGCTCAGAGTTATCACTATGTAGAGCTCTGAATATATTTACAATAGTTTTAATATATATATTAATAAAAGTAGGAAAAGAATTATGCTCTGACTTGTTCAAAGTTGTAACCACATTTACTGCAAATGCAAGGAAATTATTACAGAAGATTTAAAATGGCAAATGTCTTTGATATCAATTTCTAATACTTTTTAGCTTTTAGTATTGAAATATATTTTAGTGCATGTAATTCTGCTCTAAGATGTTATTATACAATAGGACATTTTACTCAATTTGTATCTCATGTAATTCGGTTGTATTGCTTTTTTTATAGGTAGTTTACCTACCTATTTTAAGTATGAGGAGAGTCTATTTCTGCTTTCATACCTTCAAGACAAGTGCAGTGAGAATAGTTATCTCACATTTCATTAATAACACTGTGTGATGTGCAGGGATCCCAATTATTTCAGTAGCAAAGCATGAGAGGGATGATACTTTTGGTCTTGTGTATCGGCAGACCTAGCAGAAAACAGTCTTGTTTGAGTATGTGTGTTTTAAACACCCTCCAATGAGAAGATGAAACTTAGGACGAGTGCCAGGAGTGTCCACAGAACAGACCTGCACTTACTGCACTTCAAGCTGAAATAAGAAAATGTAGGAACTTGTTATGGTTCTTGAACCAACTAGTTGTTAAACATAGGGGAGTGAGATTCAATTTAAAATCTTCAGAGTAGAGAATTCTACATACATGCAACTACATGGTAAGAATGACTAGAGAATAAATGGATTTGTCTGATACTGTAAAGTCTCACTAAGACTTATTTCCCTGTTAAAAAGTGGGTATTTGAAAAAAGAAGCTGTTGTATTTTCCAGTTTGTTTAAAATGTTCTGCTTGTTTACTGTCTCTTTATTTTTTAGGTTACTATTACAATATTAAAATGCAGATGAAGACAGGCTTGTGCAGAATCCTTCTGCTGCCTTATGAGTACATAAAGGAAAGATCCTAAACCAAGTTTTAGTATAAGGTATGTATTAGGATATTTAGCTTTTTTCAGCAATTACTGAAATTAGGAATCTACCTTTTGTTCACATTTGCCATTTGATTATATACTTGAGCTAATACTTGCTTTCAGATAATAACGTCTGTTCTTTGCATAGTTCCTGTCATACATTAATGTTTTCGAAGTACTTGAAGTATGTGTACACAGCCTTTTGCAGACAGCTCAAAATCTGGCTAGCCCTAATGCCTCTTATCCCCAAAAGCCATATGCTACACTAATGCAGCTATGCCCAAGCTAATGGATTTTCTTGATGCCTTGCGTTGAGAATCCAGTTTGTATGAACACCATTGTAGTTTCCAGACCTGAACCATCTTTGGGATTAGCAGGGAGGCACTGTGGGAAGAATCTGACTCTTGGTCTGAAAAGCTGTTTACTCTGTAAAACCTGGGATGGAATTCAGTTGCGTTGCACATAGGGATTTAGTGAAATCTACCCTAGGTGTTGGCAGCGTCTGTGTGGGACTGACAGATACAAGTTTTAATAGGAGATTGATACAATTTGGTTTAGTAGTTCTAAATTTCCAAAACATCAGTTACTTTCATAAAGTACAAATCATTTGAAATACTGATGGGATTTAATTTAGATTTGCAAGTTGTACTGATACAATGAGGAATTTGGGTAAGCTCTCTTTTGTGTTCATGTTTGGCCTAGTGATCATCATATGAGAGCTGTCTCTATTTCTCTATTTACTGTTAACACATCTATAATCAAGGTATAGTCTGTAATACTCAGTACATCCTTCTTTGCTATCAGAAGGGTTCTTTTCTTCATTTTTTACCGATTTCCAAGTCAGCTGGCAAATTAAGTGTGGGAAGCAGTAAAACCTGCGAGAAGTATAAACATTGCAGGGTCCTTATTCATTCTATAGAAAAGCATAGGAAGAAAAGGGCAAAAATGAGAAAGATTTTTTTGTGCAATAATATATCTCAAACTGTACTGTGAATTACAACTAATAGTGGAAAATTTTGTATGTGGTCTTTGATTCTCAATACGAAATAATTCCAAATTACTACCTGAGAGAGGTAGAATTAGATAATTACGCTCCCCACAGAAGCTCTGTCTCCTTTTTGTACCTCTTTCTACCTGCAGTATCTTGTTATATCTGTCACTTAAGTAGCACTGCTCTGTAAATGATTTTTCAGTTTCCTCCATGTGTGGCTCAGATAAAGAGTTGGAGCTCTCCTCCCTAGTGTTCAGGTGCACCCCAGTAACTTGCTGCATGCCCGAGTGCCTGCTGCTGGCTACTGGAAGTCACGTTGTCTCTCCTGAGCCCTGTAGTACTAACTCCCATCTCACCCCTGCAGTGGAAACTGGGGGCACATACTTCTTACCCATTAAAGATGGTGGTGCTGAGGAGCCAGGATAACTGGCAGGCGCTATGGGTTTGCTTTGCTCATTGCTAAGGGGTTCCTTGTTATTTTCTAGTTGCTGCAAAATTGTAATATAACAAAACTAAAAACATTGATTCACAAGGTCTAAAGCAGACAATACAGCTAAAACTCCCCCCTAGCCCCCTGCAAACAATGAAGTGGTAGTAGGAAAAGCACTTGATTTATGTATACTAAGTTTAAATCATGAGAGGTCTTTCTGTCCAGCTGACCATTTGTCTCGACCGAGTAGCTGTTAGGAATTCAATGGTTTTGCTGATCCCTACATATCAGACTGCAGCCGTGCAAAAGAGCTATTTGAGAGCCTCCACGGAGAAGGTTAGCTTAGTCATTGTTTGGCAAGCTTCCCGGGAGTGACAGAATTTTTCTCCCCTCACTTCTTCTGTTTCCTTCCTGTGAAGGGAAGAGAGGATGGCCAGGGTGACTTGCAGATACAAGTGTTTCTTTGATGAGCTAAATAATGACTCTTTGTCTCAATGGAGTAATAAAATCCTTTCCTCCTTTCCCCCACTATTCATTTGCATGTGCACACTTCATGTTACAGTCCCAGACTGTAGTGTGAACCTGCCTAGCAAACCCCAACACCCTACTTAAATTGCAATAAAAGTTGAGAAAAGATGAGATTGAAATGTGACTGGATTGGATTGTACCTGGGACATACTGTGCAAATGCAAACTGTACGACTTTGCAAAAGACTGTGGGAGAGTGAGCCAAGTCAGTCAAAATTACACCTGCTCAGTTTGGTCTTTCTCAACCTTTCGATGAGCAACGTTTTGAAGAGATGAATGCTGGCTTCAATATAGGTGTCATTACTTTCCCTTCTTCAACTTTAGAAATAAATTTGCATACAGTTTTGTTATACCAGAAAGTCTACTGGGCTCTGATTTAATTTTTAGTGAAGTTAAAATGTTCTGTCAGTCTTTCTGCTGTGAAATACCTAAAATGTAGTAGAGAATTCTAGACAACTGCTTGACAGTGCTATTTAGAAAAGCATAAGCATTTCCCACCTATTGATCTATCCGACTGTATTTGCTAGTATTTTTGCAAGTTTCTCTCTAGTTTGCTATTTGCTGCAGATCAGTTACAGAAATACTTTCTCAGGCAGTTTTTTTTTTTTTTTAATCACCGAGTATCTCTTGTAACTCTTCACCCTGAATCTTACTTCCTGAAAATGTTGTTCTACCTTGCATTAGGTTTTAATGAAAGCTACTGGTGGCTGTACGGCCTTGAAAACGGAAGATAACTTTCTGCTATACCACGAGATTGTGTGCAAAAATTTGTTCTTCAAGTCAGAATTAAAAGAACCGTCTGGGGTGAGAATATATGTTTTTAGTCATAGAACATATACAGCAGCTGGGATTTTTGTGATGAAACCTGTGTCCTGGGTACTAGATTAGCAATCCATTTGAGTTTGTTTGCCTTATTTGTCTGTGCAACATCTGTGTTTTTTCCTTCATTGTTCTCTATGCCCTTGGACACTCAAGTAATCCTATTATCCACTAAAACTGTAATTAAATCTGTGGCGCCTAGCTGAACAGCAGAGGGGGATGAATTCATAAGTCTCACTTAAGCTGTATTTTTTTTTTTTTTTGGACAGTTTTAGTAGTCCTGCAGACCTGAGCAAATAGGGCCAAAGAATTATTTGGGAAATGTAAAATGATGGGAGAGTAATCATCAGCATGGAGACTTATCAGTACCGATCTGTTTACCTGGTTTGCTCCCCCCACCAACCACCCTAGATTGAAAAAGAAGCACTGGGAAAATCTCATGATATTCAAGATACCTTTTCCTCTCTGAGGAGGAGACAAGTTACATTTACAACAACGGTGGTGATATCCAGGGTTAAGCAAAGTCAAGCATTTTATAACAAAACTGATGTGAGACAACTTTGATGTCTAACTTAGGTTTTGACTCCTGCTACAGTCTAGACTGTACTAGTAGGTTGCTTTAATTTTCAGGTCTTCAGTACTGGTTTCTGGGAAATGGCATTGTTAAAAGGATTTAAATTAGTACATGCTACAACTGGAGTCATGGTAAATGATGCATTAAAATACTGTTTCTAGGTTAAATTTTTTTTGATTAATAAACATTATTGGAGGTACGTAAGAAAATATTTTAAAGCACTAATATATAACAAAAGAAGAGAAAGTACAGTGCTTCTTGTATTTAAACAAAAAAACAATACTCTGGATTTTGTTTAAGCTGCAGTACCAAGTTTAAAATGGAACAGTAATAGTAGTTACTCAGTGAATTTAGAAGAACTCTGAGATGATGTTAACCAACTGGGACATTAAAGCTGCAGTGAGATTTCACTCTCTATGCAGTTAAGTTTCATACTTGCATGTTATGATAAAAATGATGCTTTTTGTCTTAATGTGGCCAAAGAAAAGACGAACAATGAAAAACAATGAAATGAAAATTAATTTTGATGCATAAGATTTTAACACTGTACTGTAACATATCACCAGTGTAACTATATATTTTTTAGGGTTTCTGTTTCTAATAAAACTATTTCAAATTAATCTGTGAATTACAGGGTGTTTGTTTTGCCTTCTCCAAAATCTGAAAAGGCAGCCTACATGAATAGAGGGACTGTCAGCAACCTCATGAAGGTCAGCAAAGGGAAATGTAAAGCCCTACACTGGGGACAGCGTAACTTCGTGCAGTAATGTAGTCTGGGCCCAGACGGGCTAGGAAGCAGCTTTGCAGAAAAGGATCTGGGTGTCCTGATGGAGAGCAAGTTGAAGGTGGCCAACCATGTCATGGGCAGTATTAGCAAGAGTGTAGCCAAGCAGGTTTAAGGGAAGTGATCTTTCCTCTCTTCTCGTCACTTCTGAGACTGCAGCTGGAGCACTGTGTCCAGTGTTGGGCTCTTTGGGACAAGAAGGGTGTATGGAAGTGAGTCCAGTGGAGGCGACTGAGATGACAATGGGCTGGAGCATATCACCTAAGTGGGGAGAGAGAGCTGCGTCTAGTTCAGTTTGTAAAACAGAAAGGTGGGCATGGGTGGGAAAATCTTACCGCTGTCTTCTACTACCTAATGGGAGGGTGTAGAGAAGAGGAAGCCAGGCTCATCTTGGAGGTGCTCAGACAGGGCAAAGGGTGACAAGATGCAAATTGAAACAAGGGAAATTCTGCTCTTAGGAGAGCATGTGGGGACTGCAACAAGTTACTTGGAGAGTTTGTGGAACTTCCACTCAAAGCTCAACAAGCCCCTGCATAACCTGAAGGTAGCACTGATATCCTTCAGGAGGTTCTCTCCAAACTTTTTTTATGAATATGTACACTGGGAATGAGGAAGTCTTCTACAATTTTCTGTGTATTCAGGATACAGAGAAGGCAGAGTTATTGAATGCTGCCTTTGCTTCAGTCTTCACTGCTAAGGCCAGCCCTCAGGAATTCCAGACCCTGGGCACAAGAGAGGAAGTCTGGAGAAAGGAAGACTCTCCCTTGGTGGAGGAGGATCAGGTTAGAGATCTTTTGTCCAAACTTGACATCCATAAATCCATGGGCCCTGACGGGATGCATCTGCAAGTGCTGCGGGAGCTGGCGGATGTTATTGCTAGGCCACTCTCCACCATCTTGGAAAGGTCCTGGAGATCAGGAGAGGTGCCTGAGGACTGGAAGAAAGCCAATGTCACCCCAGTCTTCCAGAAGGGCAAGAAGGAGGAGCCAGGAAACGACAGGCCTGTCAGCCTCACCTCCATCCCGGGAAAGGTGATGGAACAGCTCCTCCTGGAGGTGGTCACTAAGCATGTGAAGGGCAAGAAAGTGATCAGTAGTCAGCACGGATTCACCAAAGGGAAATCATGCTTGACCAATCTGATAGCCTTCTATGACGGAATGACTGGCTGGGTAGATGAAGGGAGAGCAGTGGATGTTGCCTGCCTGGACTTGAGCAAGGCTTTGGACACTGTCTCCCATCACATCCTCCTAGGTAAGCTCAGGAAGTGTGGGTTGGAGGAGTGGCCAGTGAGGTGGATTGAGAACTGGCTGGATGGCCGAGCTCAGAGGGTTGTGGTGAATGGCGCAGAGTCAAGTTGGAGGCCTGTGGCTAGCGGTGTCCCCCAGGGGTCAGTCCTGGGTCCAGTCTTGTTCAAT